TGTACAAAAATAGTCGATATGTTGTTTAGTTCGTCAGTTGCGAAAATTTCCGCTGAGAATTTCATGTACTGGCACTGAAAAGTAAGCGTACTTGGAAGCTGAATTTGAAATCTTGGACGGCGAACATTTTTCCAAACAATCAGTCTCCTAGTTTCCTGTCCTCTGAATGACTTTCGCGCCGAAATTTCAAATGTTCGTACCTAAGGCCTCGGCTTACTTGGGAGCTAAATTTGAGTTTGTGAGGTCCCAGCATAGACAGAAAACATCCTCCCGGAGTTTCCAGCCTCCTAGTTCTGGCTCTCCAGACAATAATTTTTCCCGTGTCACGGAGCCGTACAGGAGACCTGGGCATACGCAAAAGCTGAACTAAAATTTGTGGGGATTGTAAGTAGGCAAAGGACATTCCCTAAAATTTCAGCTTCCTAGCTTTCGCGGTTCCCGAGATAATTTTCTCTGCCAAAACTTTCACGGGGCCGTACGTGGTACCCAAGGGTACATGAAGGCAAAATATAAAATTACAGGGTCGCACATGGGCAGGAAATATTCTGCTAAAATTTCAGCCCCTACCTTTTATGGTTCCCGACTTGAAAATGCGGGAAAAATGCACTTGGGACACGCACACACACATAGAAACACACACACACATACATCACAGGGACATAACAATATGAGTTTTGTGCTGTTGTTACACAACGCAAAACGCACAAAAATCAAATCAAACTTGTTTTAGGCTTTTTTGAAAATGGAGTTTTGGCAGACTGAGAGAAATGGGAAAAATGAACTTCGTCAGATTTTTGCTATAAAGCACACGTTAGCCCTTGGGAGGAGAGTATGTGTGCTCAGCAAAATATTGTCCTTTGCCAGTCACTTCAATATTGGGAGGAATGGAAATAAAGCCGATTTATAAAATTTTTCTAGTGAGTGATGGTGTTTTTATTTACTTGTTCACTTGTGCAGATATAAGTCAAAATTAAGGAATGGCAAAATTCTCCCCTTTGTCAATCTTTCGGGTGGAACGGAAGTAATCAGTTAAATCAAACTTCATTACTACCTTCGACGGCACACTCTCTGGGCTCTAGTCGACGATCCCTTCGGATAGTTATTTCAAAAGCAAGTTTAGTCCAAGCGGTCAGCGAAAACGCATATTGTAACATCCCATGATGTGCGCGTGTATCCGTTCTGCTATTTCAACTTCAGCATTTAAATCCAGTTCTTAATGACGTCCAGATTTCACGTACGGACTTCAGTAGGAAAATTTCAGAGTGGGGAATCAGAAAAGTTATGGAGCTGAAGTTTCAGGCGGATATTCTCAGTCGATAAGCAACTCAAAAATTTCAAATTCAGTTCCTAAGTGCACCTTCGTCTCACTTACAGACATGTGAGAGCTTTGACGGTGAAATTATTTACTCGGAGAATAAAATTTTTAACTCCCCTCGCTCTTCATTTGCCGATTCGGCGCTGTAAACCGGATTGAAAAATGCGCAGGGGGCATTTTTATTTCTCCCCATCTATGTTATCCTCCATAATGCGCTCTTTAGTGTACATTTCACGTTTTTTGCGTATACAATTGCTTAGCCGTTTCAGTAGTACTAGTTGCAGGTCAGACTGGCACTGGTTCGTAACACACAAGCCTAGGAGGATAAAACGTGGCGCACAGTCTTCTCGATATGTTTATGCTTCCATGGTTTGTATCCCGCCTTGTCTCGACAGTGCCCGCACCTCGATGAGATGCATGGGCGACATTTCGTAGGAGACTTTCGTTGGGTTTGCGGAGGCCTCAGCAACAGATCCACTACAGTACATCCTCGTATACCTCGGCTATTACACTTGTGCTTGAGCCACAGGTCACAAGAAGTTGTAATATTCCTTTACTGCGATGGGTGATGTTTTTCTGTACAGTGGCACTCAAAAAGTGGGTCATCTCGGATGCATATGCATACAGGCATCAGAATGGACGGCGATTCCTATCTATCCGGCATACCTCGCGCCTCACTGATTTCACTCGCTTCCAATCTTTACGGATTTCCTCTGGTCACTTTAGCGTGTATATTCAACGCATTCATATTTTAGTTCAGTTCCCCTCTCCCCAGTTTAATACAGGTAGTCTCGGTGGCCGCTGTGGAACCCCACCATTTTGCTGGGGCAGCACTGAATCATCTTCCACCCAAATGATTCATTAATCGACTACTCTATGGGGTTGAGTCAAAAATAAGTTCCTTACTCATTACTTGCTTATGAATCAGCCAAACAGGACAACTGCTTGTTACTTAAATTGCAATATGTGTGCTGGTTCAATAAAATAGATCAGCAGATTGTAGCAACCAGGTTGACCTTGGCAGCATAAATGGCAAAGATAAGTCAGGCACTGCATACAGGCTAGGCCTGAGGTAAATGTGGGCCAGTGACCTTCACGGAGGTACTTTGATTTACAGCAATGTTCACAGATTACGGAGGCTCATAATCCTCAACGACCACCACATATGCTCCTCCTCCGCTTCTCTCCTCCTCCTCCTCCCTCTTCCTCATTCATGTGCAGTAACTTGCAGCCATTCAGCATCGGCCCCATTTCTCGAATTTTCACAGCGTGTGGCGACCGGAAAATTGTTAAGAACTGGTGTTTCATTCAGGTCACTCTTAATCGAGCTGTTTTGAATGAAAGTAACTCGATCGTGCAGCTACAAATGATAAAGGATTGCGTCCCGAGCTGCGGTTCCTTCGCCTTACTCGCTTAGTATCACCTTGACAACATTAGGCTAATTAACAGCAACAACAACGACATTAGCTTGTTTTAAGCTGATCCACTTACCTGCATGATCTTTGCTCTTTTACGTTCTCACTACCATTGTTTATCAGTGATTTACGCCACTAATCTCGAATTTTCATCGCTACTCGTCATCCCATCCCCTTTTCATAACTTTTTTTGTGCTAATTATGTTAATGCATTTAGCTGTTTTTGTGCTAATTTTGTTAATGCAGTTAGGTTTTTGTTTATATACATAAACATATGCATAAACATTAATTTTTGCACGCAAAAATTTCGCTTTTTTTTTAATTTATGGCGTTCAGGACGCAACCACTTGAATTGCATAACTGGCAGGCCCAGCAATATCTCTTGCTGGACAGTCGAAACATGCTTGCTAAGATTGATGATAGCGCCACACCTGATTGTGAAAGCATTAGTTCGAATGAGAGATGAGCGCAACAGCGAATGCTTTTATCAGTGCGACATTCATCGTTGCTGCACAGGAAATATTGATAAGAGAAGCTGCTGAGATGTGGTTTTCGTACACAGTTATATATCACGCTGAGATGTGTCATCAAAACCCAGCATTTCCTTACTGATGAGTTGAGGATTTCAGAAGTTTATTCCTGTTCTTTTTGACGCTTGATTCTGAACAGGAAGTTTTTTAGCGTTACAAAAAAAAAAACTGTCCCACTTTTATGATAGTCTAGATCCTACTCTACAGTTCTGTTCTGAGAGATTTTATTGGCACTGTGTTATACTTCTATTTCTGGCTTCCAAGCGTCGATAAATTTTTCTTGGAGTTTCGGCCTTCGACAAAAACGTATGAGAACTGCAGAACAGCCGAAACATCCTTGCATTAGTTGATTCGTACTGTTTGGACATCTCGCTGTCCCTGCCCCTATATGCCCCATCATTTTACCATAATATGAGTCATTTGCCATAAAATTATTTGCTTAATATTGCGATTGAATTTGTATGTGTTCCATTTGAAGTACTATTTTTTTCGGGCTGGCCTATTCTCGGGCCAGTTCTACTCAGATATAGTCACAGCTGGATTAGGTCTTCCTGTCCCTGCCCATTCATCTTGAATTATTTTCCTTTTCTTTACCTACCCGATGTACGCTAGTTACACTGGAGATCATATCAGTTGTCATTTCTTTTCGAGAGTATCACTTACTGATACACCGCTTGCACGCAAAGCGAACAACTCCCAACAGCATCGTGTTATCTCCTGCGCCACGCGCCTGATGTTTCTTTTTTTTTCTAACTTATTGAAAGGCAAAAACATTTTACATGTATTAACACTGTTCCATTTGTGGCATTGTTTGTGGTACAAATTTGTAGTACCTGTGGTACAAAAACATCATGAAAATGACCACAGCGATCTGCTGTGGTACTTTTTGTGAGCTGTACAAACAAATATGAAACGGATACTGCCATTACTATTGCCGTTAGCTTTGCATAACGGACTCCTTGCCCTGCACCGCTGTTCTTGTATTTTCACTTTTGTTTTATCCAATCATGACATTTGCCGTGTGTTCGTGGATAATTAGAAAAGCTAATTGTTTGCTGTATGTATGCTGATTCATAATAGACTACTCAATTTCTAGATTTCCGACCTCCACCACCCACTGAAACTCGCTCCGCTTACTCATTCTGATATTTCGATCACCCTTTTTTCTCGTCGTTGTGTTTCTTTTTGCCACTGATGGAGTTGATAGCTTCTCCATTCTTCTTGATTTTGGCTCCTCTATTTCACTTCAGTTCCCTAATAGGCATTCAAACTATTCATTGCCGTACACTGAGATTCCTCTCTATGTTGTCTCAGTTTACACAGGTACCATTCAGTAATCCGCTTTGTCCGTCTTTCGTCTCTTACTCTTGCCGCAAGACCAGTCCAGCTCTCTTTCTGGCACACATTCCTTGGAATTACTGTTCATGCCAGACCAGAACTGAATATTTCAATAGATACGTGCAGCAACTTCAGTAACACTTGCCCGCGTTTTATCGTCCTATAACTTGTTCTGCCACCGCTGCCTTTTTCCCCTCCGCGCTTCTGCACTGTAGAACTGGTAAAACAGTGAAACTGAAGAGTGTTGCTGTCACAGCCGATGTGTTTTGCTTAAACAAAGAAAATGTACTGATGTTCTGAGTTTTTTTCTTTCCTCTTATTTCAGTAGATTTTTCACTGTTTCTGGTCTGCCAGCGTTTGACTCATTAAACTGTTATTGAATTTTAGAAAGCTAAACACAAGATGATTTCAGATTTGCTAGAAATGGTTCACGGTTGTGGCAATACGGCACTGAAGTTTCTGTTTTTCGCTGCCAATCTACTGATTTGTACTTTTGGCGCACTAATCTTTGGCTTCTCGTTATGGGCCAATTTGGACAAGGATTTCGCCCAAAATCTCGAAAAACTGGCCAAGGAAATCCAGCACGAAGATATCAATGTTCTGGCAAAGGTAAAGTTAGTTGATGAGATTGTGTGGTAACTTCTGTCCAGCCGTTTCTGTATGAAAACCATCGTTTTATATCATTCTTAGTTCTCATCAGTTTCAGTACTGCTACGCCCAGCCTGACAGGGAGCAAGGTGGATGTGGTGATTCCCATTCGGAATGATAAGCCAATCTCTGCTACATGTACTTATCTGCCATATTTCGCACATCGTTTGCTCTAAATAAAGCATTTTGAAGAGTACTTGCCCCCTTTCTGCCCTTTTCACTTAGCTTGCATACCTGCTGTTTTTGATGTTGTGTTCTTTCGCTGAAATTTTTGCTCTGTGATTAAATTGGTCCTCTTTTGGCTTTATTTTGCCCCTTATCCGATTAGTCTTTCGCTTCTCTGTAGGGATTTTGCATCCTTTGTTATTTTTTCACAGCTCTAAATAATTTTGTGCTTGTTCTCGCACGAACAACTCCAGTGCTCCGAGAATGCAGAAATACCAAAGAATGCAAATTCCTGAGTTTGTCAATAAAGTACACTGTTTAAATGAGAAAAAAAAAATACAGGCTTAGCCTAGAAATATAAGGAGAGCATTCCATTTTTTGAAGAAGCTCCATGAGGGCACTTTATTGGCGAAAACTGTGCATCATCGTCTCTTCCATATATTGTCGTTTTCTTCTTTGTCCTCACATTTACATTACGTTTGAGTACCGTGTTCTTGGCCTGTTCTTCCCTACTAAAACATTATGCAGCGCCTTACAAGGGACTTTTAAAATCTTTTTGATCAGCACTTTTGCACTATTTTAAATAGATTTTGTGTTTTCTGATTCATTTTTTGCATATCCACCATTTTCCGCACATCCGATTTTAAAATCACTCTGCATGAAAGTGCGATGACAGCTGTGCCTCTCCATTCTTGGTTACCTCGCTAACGGTGTAGGCACTTATCGAGCAAAAAGAGGGATGCTGTAGAGAAAGAACAGAAAGCTGAGTGGACTTCTGATTTTTTTGAAGTTTAAGAAAGAATAATTTGCACTGATTTTCAGTATCAAGCGTCGCTGTGGGTTTTGGTAGGCGTGGGTGCGCTTCTGTTTCTCGTTGGATTCCTTGGCTGCTGCGGTGCGATATGCGAAAGCCGTTCAATGCTAACTCTGGTAAGTTATAGCTTCACCATATCCACAAGCACGCACAACACTGCTCTCAACTTTAAAATGCTGTGGATTTACCTGTGTTGTGTAAATCCCTTTAAAGTTTACAAGTATCATCAAATTTACGACATTTCAAAAAGACATTGCGTTTCTTTTACGACCGTGATTGGCCGTGATTTCGCTGAAAACCTCATTTGGGAACGGTGATTGCATCCACTTGTCAGCATGCTTAATCAAATTCGACAGAATTGCTCGTAAATTTGATGATTTGGATTTTTACCGTCATTTGAAAGCACTCCCTCTTGCGTAATTATGTCGTTTTGAATTGCTACAGATTTTATTGCCCAAATGCAAACGTGTTTTGCTCCCTTTCTCAATTTCTGTCCACAAAAAGCGTAGCATAATGAGATGTTGCTGAATTTAATTTTTGATGCCTGGGAAAGGATAATTCACGGTGCATTGTATTTTGAAAGGGAAAATGAGCTTTACTGCAAGATTATGAGAACGAAAATGAGCATGTTCCTTAATGAGGAGGCTGAACAGTGGCAGCACATAAATGTTTCGTAGTGTAACTGTTACAGCTACATAAATTGGCACAATCTTAGTCTGTTTTTTCTTTGTCCAGTGATTTGATATGAGGTGCCACTTTCTTAACAGAAAATCTGTTCTTGAAATGCTTTCCTGGACATTCTTCTTGCTGCGTTGATCAAATATCAAAAACCTCATCGCTCGGGTATCATAGTCAGAAATCTCTCCGTACTGAACCTCTATAAAAGGCGGAAGCACTCAGAAATAGCCCGCGATAGCACGCATTAGCAATAACTACTGGCTGACCAGGTTGTCGATTACTCCTTCTCAATGAAGGCTACTTAGAAGCAAGCTGATTTTCGACATGCGCCAGTACCAATTTACCAACAGAAGCGAATGAACATATCGTAGACTCGAACTGATTATTCCAGCGACGAAGTCGTGCCCTCGATCTACTGCTGCTATTTCCCAATGCGTGATGCCCACCGCTTCGATACATGTGAATAAAATTCCTCCTTTCAACTTTTGGTTTCTTTGCTTTCAAAATATCCATTCAAGCTCACATTTCTGGGCATTACTCATTTTTGCATCTTAAAATGAATGGCCCGTCTATTCTGCCAGTTCTACCCTGAATTGTTATTTCTAGTATTCAGCATCTCGGAAACTGAGATTGTATTTCAGTTCTTCGTCATAGTACTAGTCCTTACGGCAATTGAACTTGGAGCAGCAGTGTTTGCAGTGGCCAGCAAAAGCCAGTTCAAGGATGCGCTTCACGTTAGTTCACCTTTTTTTTACAGTTTTCTTCGCATAATTCTTCTCAGATACTACCTATCAGATCTTAGAAATTTCTTCCTAAAGTTATCTTTAAAACGATTAATTGAATAGATTTGCTTCTTTCCAGAAATTTATCCTGTCGGTTAGATCGAGTTCAGCTAAGGAAGTTTATTTCTATTGAGCATGTTTTGAGGTTCAGGGTGAAATTTTTTTTTTATTGTGAATGATGAAATTTGAGTCCGGCGTGTTTTTTAGCGGTTTCATTTCCCAGCCAGCTAACTCAAGAAAGCTAATTAATTTATGTCGAACGCAGTTCAAATTAATAAGTTTTTGACAAGTTTTTCGCGGATTATTGGACGTTGTACTGATTGTGAATACTCTTTTTCTCATGTACTTGATTAGCCATATAGAAATTACCAGAATAGCACGGCATTCAAGATCTGAAAATGGAGCTGAAACGCATAATAGATTTGGTGCTATTAGAACTTTTATCGTATTTTTATTCCACTCACAAGGTTTAGCGTCTTCTGAGAATAATAGATGTTCGAGAATAATTGGAGAGTGGCCTGAGTCTGGAAAAATATTTGAATTCTGAACAGCATTATTAACATCTGGTCGTCAGAATGGTTTTCTAAACTTTTCTTCTGAAACTGTTTTTATCTTCCTTCGTTACACACACAAATGTGTTCCGCTTCAGAGGCTATTAACGGAAGCCAGCCAAGCCGAAGATAAATACCTGCAGAACCTGAAGCCCATCGAAGATGTTTTCCAGTGCTGCGGGGCAACACATGAAACCAGGAATCGATACATAGAGCACAACCTCTGCGAGGGACAACTGCAGGATAAGGTTGCTTTATTTCAGATTTTTTGAATTCTTTCAAGATTTAACAAAGGCAAGCATCGAAAGTCCGTGCGGTCTTCGTGCATTTTTGTTTTTATGTTAGATTTCTGAAAAGAATTTGTTTTATTTTGTTAAAATGATACTGATACAAAGTACGTATGTCAGCATATACTTTAAAAAATTTGAAGGAAAGAAATCATCTGCTTGACGATATTTTCGAAAAGCACCTCCCTTGCAAAAAAACCATGGCTGCATGGTGAATGAATGGATAAATTTGCAGCCGGATTGCTTCTCAGTAATATCGCACTGGTTGGAAACGACCGGAGAAGTGGTTATAATAATTGCCTTCATTCTGCTCATTGTGGAAGTGTTTGCCCTGGTAGCCACATGCATACTTTGCAAGGCATTCCGATATGAAAGTCCTCGTTACTATGCTTAAGGAGGACTGGTTACAGAGAGGAAACGAGAAGTTAACTTTTTTTGATTGTCAGACATAAACTTTACTTCATCACTTTGTTATTTTTCATCATCTTTACCACTTAGTTACTTCATCATATTTATTTTACCTTTGGAAAATTTTCGAATGTTCGACTGATTGTTACAGATTTTTTCGATTGTTCAAAAAATTCGATGGTTTGAGGAATAAAAAAAAAGAAATCGAATGTTCGGAATTTCTAAAAAAATAATGTTCGATTGGATGTGATGTTTGTTCATTTGAAATAGAAAAGTGCGCACCTCTGACAATTTGAAATTGGACCCCTCGGCAATTCGTTTTCTTCCAGTCGGCGGTTTGCATTCACTTTCATGGACTTCTAGTGCTTCACGTCATTTCATTTCTCTAACGAATAAAAAACCCAGACTCTTCAAAAGTGAACAAGTGTTGCATGTTTTTGAAAGACAGTCTTGTTTTAATAATCCCTACACTCATACATGGGTTGGCTGACTCATTCCTAGCACAGTGAGCGATTTTTTGCTTGAGACTTTTCATTTTCGAGTATTTTTGGTTGTCTAGAATTTGAGACATTTCTATTTTTCTCACTTTGAAAATACGTCCCAGAAATTTGTATTTTTAGAGGTTTGTGAGTATGGCACAGTGACGATTTAGCAGTCCTTTTGTTGAAAATCGGGGCTTCCACTCCACCATCTCAGGAAACCAATCCATTTGGTTTCTTCATTTCGATGACAAATCTGTACTAGCGCATCTCAGGGAGTAAAACTCTACATCAGCTTCTTTCTAGGCAACTTCCAAAAAAAGGAACCGTAGGTAGCCTTGCCTGCCAGCGTTTGCTGTTGGCATTTGCTATCAAGCAGGCTATTTTCATGTGTCTCCGCCTCATGGAGAGTCAGCACGGAGGGGTTATTAATTTCTTTGTGTACCTTTAAAATTTGTCCGACGTTGTTACAGCTTAGTAACCATTCCATAACTCATTCTGTACATTTTTTTTCTTGTGTATTTGAGCCAGGAGATGTCGTTAGCTTGCTGACTGTAGTGACTAGCAAAGAATTAAGTCGGTGGCTTATGCTGTGCTACATCCGGAGCGCCCTTTTTTACATGCACTGTCGTTGAGGCACAGTAGTAAATTTAGCTTCGTGCAATGCATTTTCAAACCGCTGTTGAGGGAAAATGTTTAGTCGTTTTAGAGCCAGTGTTTTCTATCATAAATGTACATAGAACAGACGGTGGGTACTAGCTGTGGTGTACAGCCCGGGACTGAAGCTCCTGGTACAGCTGCGTCTGGCGTGTAAGAGCATCCTAGCAAAATCACTAGCAAGGGAATCCTAGACCGATCGTTCGAGCGGTCTTGGTATTCTTGGTAAATATATGCGTGATTTTTGCTTTCCTGGCAGCGATAAGCGCATCCTGTAAACTGTTTTGGCCGTTTTGGCAAATTATTCACTGTTGGCACATGCAGTGAGCATACAAAAGAAAGGTCTGTAATTTGTTGCTTTCTACTGCTCAGCACGCCTAATCACCAACATGTTTGCTTGGGTGTGACGCTTGTGATTGTGAGTTTACCGATTTCCTCCCAGCCCGTATCCTTGAAAAATATGGATTTGATGGTGAGTGTGTACGTTTTTATGATGTCACATGCGAATATGACAGGCGCTCTGTACAAACGTAGCGATGCGCTCATGAGTAATTGTATAAATATTTGAATGTGTACGATTATGGTGCGTTGTTTGGTACTTGTGTTGGCTGGTTTTGTGCATTTGCGTATGTATGCATGTTTGTAGGTTTCCACTGTTTTTTTTTTTGCAATATCATTTGAGTAAATGCAATACGCTACAAAAAAACTAGCGTGATCATGCATTTATCAACTGTTTCAGGTGACTAGTAGCTAGTCACGTAGTGCAGACGTCAAATTTCATTTTACATCATCTGATGACATTTTCAGAATTCTTCAGTTATCCTGTCTTCGAGTAACATCAACGTGTCAGTTTGGATCTGAGGAGGAACACAGAAGTATGAAATGTGATTTCAGACTGTCAATATTGACCTCTAGAACTTCCAATTTTGCGCTTTTGCATATGTGCAAATTGCAAATACGCATATTGGGAAGAGGTTGTGTGTGTGTGTGTCTGTATGTCTTCACTTTTTGTCACCTAGTTTTAACACGAGAACCAGAAAAGTTAGAAGGCTGAAACTTTGGAGGTATCCCCATACCATGCACGACCCTCCCGTTTTAACATCACCTCCCGCGGACGCCTGCGTTCCGCGTACAGACGCTTTAAAAAAATGTGCAAATTTTTTGACGGGAAAGCGATTTCGAAAACCAGACAAAGTAAAGGGCTGAAACTTTGTAGAGATGTTCCCTGTGCATGTCTTAGCTAAGGATTTCAAATTCAGCCCCTAGCTTTGTGTGTTACTCACGTAAGGGCGTCTGAAAGTTTCTGTGGGAGAATTACTAACTCGGGAACCAGAAGAGCTAGAAAATTGAAATTTTAGGGTAATGCTCCCTTTACAAGTACAACTTAAGTATTTCAAATTCAGCTTTGAGGTATGCGTGCTTCTTACATATGGGAACGTAAAGTTTTGGCGGAAAAATCTCTGACTGAACAGGTAGGTTACTTTTAAAAAATGGCCGTTAAATGGAAATTGTACATTTAGTTTATGCAAAATTTATAATGATTTATGCTAGTGATCGCAAAAGGCAGGTGTAAAGCAGTAACCATTCATGCAGTTAATGACCTGAGTATTTCAAGTCCGGTGCAAAAACGCATGATTGCACGGGCCCGCCCAATGCGTTCCAGCCTGGGTTTTAAGTATTTGCCCGATGTAGAGTTGTAAGAACAGCTTGCATTTGCTCGTAATGCGTACGCTAAGGTATACCGGGATGTGGAAACAAAATTTCAAAGCACTCATACTGCATTATACAATTTACTAATTATGAATTTGAATCTGCAGTCAGTAGTCATGAATGAAAATTGCAGAAGGTTATTTGTCTTGAGCATAATCGGACGCGAGGTTCTTGAATTTTTAGTTCCTTAGCTTTTGTTTGAAGTTTAATCCAACTGTCTAGGTAAATACGCACAGCACGTACAAAAACGCATGTTATCGAGAGATTGTCAGTGTGTTTTTGCGTTTGTGTGCATAGGTATGTGTATGCGTTCAGATCTTTGTCACGCATATTCAGCTCAGCGATCGCTAAATCTGGGAAACGGAAATTTAACAAGGATGTTCTTAGCTCACGTGCCATGCAAACAGCTTAAAATCAACGTTCACGCACACCTGGATATTAATTTCCGCACGTGTGTATGAAAATGCCAAAAGAAATCTGCAGTGGTGACAGATGACTATAAAATTTCCATAATAATACAGGACCGGGAGCATAAAAGCTGAACAACCTTCCCGAGTCAGTCATTGCTAATTCTTACTGGAATTGTACAGTCGGTCCTGAAGCGAGCGGAGTTTGGGGATGAGCTTCATACTGACACTGTTTCTCTCTATACTGGCTGGTCTCGGAACTGCTTACTATACTGGTCATTTGGATCCCGATATTGCCGAAGTGAAAAAGAGGTTGAGGAAATGAAAGAAGATGCGCGCCTTGAACAGAATTGGAGAAATCTGCAGTTTGGTCCAAACAGATCGAATGGTGCAGTCTCGCGATGGGCAGCGTTGATTTGTGATTATAATCGTCTACGGCGTCACTTCGTGATTGTATTTGGCTACCAAATAAATCACTTGAATTGTTCAGACGCTGTTACAGCTTCCATGAATTTTTACCAGTCCTGGGAACAGCAGACCCAAATGCAAATTTATGTTTTCGTCCAGTTTTGGAAAATTTTCTGCCATTTCTTTTCTCCGAGGAAGCGAAAGACTGTTTTACGTCCAAAGGTGTTCTCAACAGTTGGTCGCCTATAATCCTTAATCAAACGAAAGTCGAAAAATCGGTGTTTACTCGTTTTCATTATGGAACCACTGATCCATAAGTGGTGGGTCGCTAAACATCGCTGAAGTAGCAGTTCGATGATTTTTACTATGTCTGAAATTTATACAGTCCAATTTGGTGTGTGTTTTGGTATCGGAGAAGTTTTGAAATGATTTACAACAGTTGATTTGAAGTCTTAGCTATATCTTGAAGCTCTAGTTGCAGCTGCAGCATGCCACTCACAAATGATGATACTTCAACGCATTTCAAGCAAAATGCCATTAAACACGGCTTTTAACCCCAGTTTAGCAAGTAATTTGTGACTGAAGTATGCGAAGTTAATTAAAAATATTGAAAATTCATACATGCATCAAAACCTTGTTTTGAATGGAAGAACATTTAAGAAACAATTGCAATTTAAAAAGCATTGTTTTAGAAACAAGCTTTTATGCGAAATATAAAATGCTTTTAAAAAAAAAACCGAGAAAATCCCCTACTTTTGTGGTCAGATCTGAATTTGCAGCCCACTCTAGACTTTCCAGTAACCTCTGATATTGGTTATTTTAAGGCAGCTATTAAAATTTGACTCGGCTCAACTCAGCTACGTGAAGAAGAGAGTTGCAGTTGTGAGATGCCCCTTGGATCATAGCTTTTAGGCAGATACGACTTGGAATTTCAACTTCGATGACGAGATGGGGGTAGAAGTAGGTAGGGGGATTGAGGATGCTTGCTTAGGGCACAGGGGATCGCGAATGAGGACTGGAAACGAGCTAAGGTAGAAACTCGAGATCGGGGTACAGTAATGGGTTATATGCGGTTGTGATGCTGAGTAAGAATGTTAATGCCAGTACCTAATTTCTTGTGTAGCATCACAAACCCGTAGTGGAAGGACATAAATTTCAATTAATTGACAGAAAAATTAACGATGTTGCTGGCAACCTAGCTAGGTAGCAACGACCGAAGCATCAATGATAATCATGTCAGCAGCTGAAAAACTGCTAAATCTATGATATGCTTTGGAATCATTTTGAAAAAGGCCGATAACCCTATGCCGGTCAGTCGTTCGATA